GGGGGGGGGTGAGGTGTATGGAGGGAGGAGGGTCTGTGGTTTGGGTTTATTCTGGTCACTGGGCAATACCAAGTGCCTTGAGCTAACCTGCTGCTTTCAGCAGTTTTGTTCAGAAATAGTGTTTTTTTTTACTGTCCCCATCCACAGGGTTTGTTTGTCTAGATTCAAAATGTCAGCTTGCTCTCTCTCCATGACCTGCTGTGATCTCCAGCTTTAGTTGCTTTCAGTTGTTTTTCTTTTGTTCAATATTTGTAATTAAATTGAGTGTGTGTCCAGTCCTGAACTAGATTCTAGAACGAGAGGTCAGTTTTAGGATCAGAGTTATTAGGTTTCAAACGAGAGATGAAGATAAATGACTTTTTTCAAGGGGTCGTGAATTTTTGTAATCCACTAACAGGAGCAAAAGGTGTTGAAGAAACTCAGCAGGTCTGGCAGCACCTGAGGAGATAATGTCTCCCAGTTCTGAACAAGGGACCATAAATGTTCACTCACTTTTCTCTACATATACTGCCAGACCTGCTGAGTTTCTCCAGCAATTTTTACTTATTCACTCGTGGGACGTGGGTGTCGCTGGCTGGGCCAGTATTTATTGCCTGTCCCTACTTGCCCTTGAGAAGGTGGTGATGAGCTGCCTTCCTGAACCGCTGCAGCCCATTTGCTGTGGGTGAACCCACAATGCTATTGGGAGGGAATTCCAGGATTTTGACCCAGCGACAGTGGTATATTTCCAAGTCAGGGTGATGAGTGGCTTGGAAGGGAACTTGGAGATGAGTCCCATGTATCCGAAGCCCTTTTCCTTCAGATGAAAATGGACATGGATTTGGAGAATGCCGTCTCAGGAAATTCTCCTGCACACCTTCTCGATGGAAAACCCTGCTACTAATGTGCATTGATGGTGGAAGGAATGAAGGTTTGTGGCATGATGTCAATCAAGCAGGCTGTTTTGTCAAGCTTCTTGAGTGTTGTAGGGGCTACACTCACCCAGACCAGTGGGGAGAATTCCATCACGTTCCTGACTTCTGCCTTGTTGGCTGTGGACAGGCTTTGGTACGTCAGGGGTTGAGAGACAAGCAACAGGATTCCTAACCTCTAATTGCTGTTGTACTTAACAGTATTTATTTGGCTGGTCTAGTTCAGTTACTGGTCAATGGTAACCCCAAAGATGTTGATAGTGGGTGATTCACCAATGGTGATGCTATGGAATGCCAAAGGAGGATGATTATATTCTTTCTTGTTGGAGATTGCCATTGATTGGCACTTGTGTGGGGAGAATGTTGCTTGCCACTTGTCAGCTCAAACCTGGCAGTTGTCAACGTCTTGTTGCATTTGGACACAGACTGCCTCAGTTTCTGAGGTGATACAAGTGGTGCTGAACATGGTGCTTTCATCAGTGAACATCCCTACTTCTGATCTTATGATGGAAGGAAAGACATTGAAATATCTGAATATGGTTGGGCCTTAGATGCTACAGCGAGGAACTCCAGCAATGATGTCCTAGAGCTGAGATGATTGGCCTCTTCCAATCTCAGCCATCTTTCTTTGATGGTGGGGACCTCTGGGGGAGACTGAGATGGATCATCGACTTGGCACTTCTGGCTGAAAATTGTTGCAGATGCTTCAGCCTTGTCTTCTGCACTGATGCACTAGGCTTCCCGTGATTGAGCGTAGGCTGTTTGTGGAGCCTCCTTGTTCAGTGAGTTTTCTGCCACTGTTCACAACTGGCTGTGACAGGGCTGCAGAGCTTAGATCTGATCTGTTGGTTGTAGAATTGTTTGGCCCTGTCTGTCACTTACTGTTTATGCTGTTTTAAACTATTTGTTTCACAAGTAATCCTGTCTTATGGCTTCACCCAGTTAGCATCTCATTTTTGGTATGCTAAGTCCTAGCATGCCTTCCTACACTCTTCAATGAATTTATACCTGCCAGATTTTCTTAAGATGCAAATGTTTATTTGTTTATATCTGCATTGTTAATCAAACTAGCTAAGCCGTCAATTTGAGATTATTTTTGAAATGTATTTATTTCACTAATGATCTTTAGAACATAAGAACTAGGAGCAGGAGTAGGCCATCTGGCCCCTCGAGCCTGCCCCGCCATTTAATAAGATCATGGTTGATCTTTTTGAGACTCAGCTCCACTTACCCGCCCACTCACCATAACCCTTAATTCCTTTACTGTTCAAAAATTTATCTAGCCTTGCCTTAAAAACATTCAGCGAGGTAGCTTCAACCGCTTCACTGGGCAGGGAATTCCACAGATTCACAACCCTTTGGGTGAAGAAGTTCCTCCTGACCTCAGTCCTACATCTGCTTCCCTTTATTTTGATGCGTTGCCCTGTAGTCCTAGTTTTACCTGCTAGCGGAAACAACCACCCTGCCTCCACCTTATCTATTCCCTTCATAAACTTATATGTTTCTATAAGATCTCCCCTCATTCTTCTGAATTCCAATGAGTATAATCTCAGTCTCTCCTCATAATCCAAACCTCTCAACTCTGGAATCAACTGAGTGAATCTCCTTTGCACCCCCTCCAGTGCCAGTATATCTCTTCTCAAGTAAGGAGACCAAAACTGCACACAGTACTCCAGGTGTGGCCTCACCAGGACCCTATACAGCTGCAGCATAGCCTCCCTGTTTTTAAACTCCATCCCTCGAGCAATGGCAGACAAAATTCCATTTGCCTTTTTAATCACTTGCTGCACCTGCAATCCTACTTTTAGCGATTCATGCACAAGGATACCCAAGTCCCTCTGCACAGCAGCGTGCTGCAACTTTTTACCATTTAAAACATAGTCCATTTTGCTGTTATTCCTACCAAAATGGATGACCTCACACTTATCAACACTGTACTCCATCTGCCAGACCTTTGCCCACTCACTTAGACTATCTATATCCCTCTGCAGACTTTCAGTGTCTTCTGCACACTTTGCTCTACCATTCACCTTAGTGTCATCTGCAAATTTTGACACACCACACTTAGTCTCCAACTCCAAATCATCTATGTAAATTGTAAACAATTGAGGTCCCAACACTGATCCCTGAGGCACACCACTAGCCACTGACCGCCAACCAGAAAAACACCCATTTACCCCTATTCTTTGCTTTCTACTGGTCAACCAATCCTCTATCCATGCCAATACATTACCTGTAATACCGTGCAACTTTATCTTATGTAGCAGCCTTTGGTGTGGCACCTTGTCAAATGCCTTCTGGAAATCCACATACACCACATCCACAGGTTCTCCATTGTCCACCATGCAAGTAATGTCCTCAAAGAATTCCACCAAATTAGTTAAACATGACCTACCCTTCATGAACCCATGCTGGGTGTTCCCAATGGGACAATTTATATCCAGATGTCTTGCTATTTCTTCCTTAATGATAGATTCAAGCATTTTCCCCACTACCGAAGTTAAGCTAACTGGCCTATAGTTACCTGCTTTTTGTCTACTCCCTTTTTTAAACAGTGGCGTCACATTGGCTGTTTTCCAATCTGCGGGAACCACCCCAGAGTCCAGTGAATTTTGGTAAATAATTACTAGTGCATTTGCTATTTCCCCCATCACCTCTTTTAGTACCCTGGGATGCATTTCATCAGGGCCAGGAGACTTGTCTACCTTTAGCCCTGTTAGCTTGCCGAGCACTGCCTCCTTAGTGATAATGATAGTTTCTAGGTCCTCATCTGCTATAACCTTCTTGCTATTAGTTTTTGGCATGTTAGTTGTGTCTTCCACTGTGAAAACCGACACGAAATAACTGTTTAATGTCTCGGCTATTTCCTCATTCCCTGTTATTAAATTGGCCTTCTCATCCTCTAAAGGACCAATGTTTACCTTTGCCACTCTTTTATGATTTACATATTTATAGAAACTTTTGCTGCCTGTTTTTATATTCTGAGCTAGTTTACTCTCATAATCTATCTTTCTTTTCTTTATAACTTTTTTTGTGGCTTTCTGTTGGCCTTTAAAGATTTCCCAGTCTACTAGCTTCCCACTACTCTCTGCTTTTTTGTATGTGTTTTTTTTCAATCTGATACTTTCCTTTATTTCCTTAGACATCCATGGCTGGCTGTCTCTTTTCCTACAGTTCTTCCTTATCACTGGAATATACTTCTGAGCACTGTGAAAAATCGTTTTGGGCAGTCAAGGGCTGCGGCTCCTGTGTTCCTGTCTGCAGGGTCCATCTACCTGCCTCACTCGCAGTCACACACTGCTGTCCCTGCTCGCCGATCGAATTAACATTAGTTAATCTACCAGGTGTGACTGCCTCCTGGACCACTGTATCGAGGTATTTCTCCCCCTCCCGGATGTGCCACAGTGTTTGGAGTTCAAATTCCAGCTCATCAATTTTGAGCCGGAGCTCCTCATGCAGCCAACACTAGATTAAGAAGTCAGAAGTTTACTTTCAGAAGCATTCAGATCAAGGAAACACATGTTTGTGGTTGAAGGGGTAGAGTTGTGATCAGATTGTCATTCTTCCTTTCAAACGTCAAGAAGCAGCAATCTGCGAATTTGATTGAAATGAATAATCCATTTTATAGTCAAAGACTTAACGCTGAGGCGTTACAAAATATAAAAGGTATTTTGGAATCTCTCTGAGGTCAAATGCTAAGTTTTCAATTGCCTCTATTGAAAGCATTAAAATATAACATCTTTATGTATCATCATGCCTGTAGTCAAATTCCATGCTTTTATAAAAAAAATTCTTCTGTAGAATTCCAAAACATTACACTGCCATTTGGTGTGATGAATCATCGATCTAACTGTACTATCATTTCTTTCAGGTTTCTTGAGCAGGTGGGTGATCATGGCTGTTGAAGGTAAAATGCCATCAGGGAAAGAGAAAAATGCATCACTTGGAAAGGGCACATTTAAAAAGTTCAGCAAATCTAATAAAAAATCATCAGGTAAGATTTTGATCTCTGGAGTATAACAACCTTTCACCAGTTTTAAACCAGAAATGTAACTTAAGTTTCCTTCCTTTTGCCTTTTCATACATAATGTGGTCAGTTTATTTACTTGTCTCGAAAGTGAGTTCTCTGCGTAGCAGTTCTTTCCTTATGAGTGTGGTTCAGGTGATTGAATTCAGTGCTACTTAAAGTAAAGCTGTTTGACTTGACCAAGTTTACAGACAGAGACAGTAGATCTGTTGATCCTATTGAAACAGACCATAGTTGGCATTGACAAGAGTCTTATACCTAATTCTAGCACCATCAAAAGCTCAGTACTGTTTCTTTCCCCTTTAATGAGCTATCTCAATTCCCATTCTAAAATCTTTAATTTTCTTACCAATGATCAATGTCTGCACAACTCACTTTCACAAATCAAAAATGTTGCTTCCACAAACTCCATTGCTTTGATTGCCATAACCAATGCCACGAATGATTCACACCCTTTTCAGTCTGTGCTCCCTAATTCTTTAAACAATGATGTGTCTGGTGAACTGATATATTAAAACACATTATGCATGCATTTCTGCTCATCACATCATGCTGCCATATTTTTGGTTTGCAATTTTTTAACTTTCCCAATTTGCCTAGTCCAAGCCTGAAACTGAACTAATTAAATCACAAAGTAAATAATCCTTTTAGTCTCTTTTGAAATTTCAATATCTAAAATAAGATTTAAAAGCCTGTTTTTAGATTGTGGTAGTGAAGACAATACAGTTGATTTCACTATCTGTAATTTTAAATTAAAAGTGAAGAGATTCAAAGTTCTTTTTTACCGTTTCTGCTTTGCAGTCTTTGGAAATATTTTAATATGATTGGCTGTTAGTCCTGTTTGCTATTAATGCGAGAAATTTCCTTGACTTTGCACCAAATTTCAGCCACTTGGGTGGCACAGTGGCTCTGGTTGGCTCAGCTGCCTCACAGCACCAGGGACCTGGGTTTGATTCCACCCTCGGGTGACTGTATGGAGTTTGCACATTCTCCCTTTGTCTGCGTGGGTTTCCTCTGGGTGCTCCGGTTCCTTCCCACAGTCCAAAGATGTGCAGGCTAGGCGGATTGGCCATGCTAAATTGCCCATAGTGCCCAGAGATGCGCAGGCTAGGTGGATTAGCCACAGGAAATGCAGGATTGTAGGGATGACATGGGTCTGGATGGGATGCTCAAAGGGTCAGTGTGGTTTCAATGGGCCAAATGGCCTGCTTCCATGCTGTGTAGGGATTCTGTGATTCTATGAGGGCTGTGCCACGGAGATCGTGACTCTTTGTGAACAGTTTGCCTTGAGGTCAGAGCAGATCAGTGTGCTGATGTTTAAGGATAATTCAACAACCTGACTAATCAGAACAATAAAAGTTTAGTAATTTAATTAATAAGTACTTTAGTCTTGGAATTAGTTATGATTTCCAGTGCAGGGGAATAGGCCACTTCCAAGTGATTTGTGAAATTGTTACAAAATTAATGTTTCAGCCAGTTTCACCTTAACTTAGTTTAGTGGCCACCGATCTGTGCTCTCCAGTTAGTCAAAGACATAGAAATGGATTTCACCACATTTTATTCTTAGTTGCAATAAAAGGTCAGTTAGTTATTTCAGTAGATTCTTGGAATTTGAAAATAATGATAAAATATTTAATTCCACTTAATTTTAGATCAAATTCTGACAAACTTTCAACTAATTATTTTACAAATACAAAAGCTTTGTGCTCGCAGCTATACAGATCACAAAATACATTATGTTTTAAGAGAAGCTAGAAATTATTTTTGTATTAAAATATTTGTATCGAACAGTTTGAGTGTATCAAAGCTCTGATTTGATTTTTCACCAGTTATGTTCTATTTGAAAACTGGAATTGCACACTTTTTCAAAAATAGACCCTGCACAGAAACCTAGTGGTCATTTGACCAAATGGTCTATGATGATTGTTATGTATCACAAGAGCCTGCTCTATCCTCCTTCACCTCATTCTTTCAGTCTAACATTTTTTTATTTACATTATCGGATGTGAGGTTGCTGGTAATTTCAGCATTTGTTGCCCATCCCTAATTACCTATTGAACTGAGAGGCTTAGATCATTTCAGAGGGCAGTTGAGAGTCTGGAATCGCATCTAAGCCAAACCAGGTCAGAACAACAGATTGACTTCACTAAATGACATTATTGAACCAGTTGAGATTTTACAAGTTGATAGTTTCGTTAACACCATTATTGAGACTAGCTTTAAACTATGGATATTATTAATTTAATTTAATTTCCACTATTTTCTATGAGACATCATGTCCCGGACTATTAACCTGGGTCGCTGGGTTTATAGTACAGTGACATCAACACAACACTATTATCTCCCCCTTTGCACTTGGCTTGCTTTCTCTTGTCAAAGTTGGTCCTCCTTCTCTTGCTTGAAACAAACAAGCCACAGCTACTCCTTGTGTAAACTGCTCCAACTAAACCATTAGGAGTTTAAACACCAGGGACTTTTATGTTTTGTTTTCCAAAGTGAGTAGTGCATTACATTACAATAGAACCTGTCTTACTTACTTCTACTGTTTCATGTAGATTCTGAAACTCTGAAAAAATTGAAAGGCGCAGGTGGGAAAGGAAAATCAGCTCAAAAGAATGAGAAAGGGGCAGAAACCAGTAACGCCAAAAAGCTGAAACATGCTACTAGAAAAGTAAATGCAACAAAGTTCAGGGGAAAGCAGCAGACTGGAAAAAAAAGGAAACAGTTTGCTGGAAACAAAGAGGGTATGTTGCTGATATATTTCTTTTTGTGGAACTTTCCTTTGCAAATGAAAATATAACTAATTGCTAATCTTTGTCATGAAATTTTACAAATCCATGTCTTAACATTTGTGTAGATATAATATCGATGGATGATAATAATTGGCTGGGTTTTGGGCCATTTAAAGTTTTGCCCAATTTGTATATAATATGAATATATATGTAATTTACTGCTTTAAAATTATATATATTTTATTCAGTTGTTTTGGATTAATATTCAAACCTTTTTACATCCATCAATAAATACTGTTGAAGAAATGTTCAAATGAGTGAAAAAACTCTTAAATGTGAAAACCCTCACCACTTATTGTTTCCAAACTGTCTGCATATTTAACTAATTTTGAGAAACCACAATGTCATTTGTCAGTCTTTTTATGTTTTGTAATTACTAGGAAAAAGTATTATATTACCACACAAATGATGGAACAGTAGTTATCAATCTTAGCTGCTGTGCCATACTGACTTATACACTACTGAATAATTAGTATAGTTATCTATATATGACTTCTTGATCTTGGAAGATGTAGTGATTTTGTTTTTTTGTTGAGTATTTCCAATGCAAACAGGAGGGCAGTGCCATTAAAAATGTTACCTTGACCCATCTGTGTGCACCATAATTATTGTTATACAGTTATCTAGACAAATCTTCAAAAGATTTGAAAATTTCAATTTATAAAGTATAGGAATGAACCCAGTCCAAGGTATTTTTTAAAATCCTGTTTCCTTCATCATTCTTTCATGTATAACTTGCATTAACACAAATCTACCAATTCTCCTGCTCTCAGTGCGAGCTAATAGTTCTTGCTTGCAAGCCCATAAACTCCCCTTGATGTGGAGAACAAAGAAAATTATCTTTTTCTGAAGAAAGATCTAGACCCGAAACGTCAGCTTTCCTGCTCCTCTGATGCTGCTTGGCCTGCTGTGTTCATCCAGCTCTACACCTTGTTGTCTCAAATTATATTGCTGTTGTGCCCCTTAGTATATGCCTTGCCCTTTCCAACAGTAAAATCTTTACTTTGGGTGAATGTAGCCAAATTATCTGTTGTACTCTTAAGTTTTAAAAAAACCTGATCTAATGTTCTAATGTAATATTCACTTTATAATTTTTTTTAGGAATTAAGGGTTATGGTGAGTGGGTGAGTAAGTGGAGCTGAGTCTCAAAAAGATCAGCCATGATCTTATTAAATGGCGGGGCAGGCTCGAGGGGCCAGATGGCCTACTCCTGCTCCTAGTTCTTATGTTATTTTATTAACTTTTATTGTATTCTTACTATTTCCGTAAATCAGGTTGTAGACTCGGGCATTGTTGCTTTTCCTCCGTTTCTCTATGATACAACATGTCTCTCTTAAATATATCAAAGATATCGCTGTGTAGTAGTTTGTATTTGATTTTGAGTTCATGTAGCATCTGCCCACAGTATTTTAAAATAAGTTGACTACCGTGTGTTAGGTATGAAGTGAAGCTAGTAACATTTTGTGTTTTAGGCACAACAGCAAAGAAACCCAAATGGGATGATTACAAAAACCAAAAGAAAGAACTAAAACAAAACAGACAACAGGACAAGAAAACCAATTATGATTTAATTTTTCGCTCAAAGCATATATGGGAAACTGTAAGAAGGTATTTCTAACAAAGTTCAATGTAATTTATTGCTACCTTGATATATGCTCACCTTAAGTCACAAGATTAGGTTTTCTAGTTTGAGTCCTGTTAACATCCATCTATAAAGCCTACTTCCTAGCCAAGTAAGTTGACCACGAGCCTTATTAGAAAGCTGTGCTACTTTGTGTGTTATCTTCCTTAGTCTTGTTTATATTACTTTACTATCGAGGTTGCTTGCAATACACCAAGAAAATTACTTTCATCTTGATCATTTTAACTGCAGCCAGTTCTCCGGTCTGTACATTTCCTGTATTGCAGCATGACTTTGTATGTCACTACCTCGATCACTGTGGTTTTAAAGCAGCTATTATTGATTTCAATTAAATCAAATTGCCTGCTTTGATCTGTGTTTTAAATTTAATTTCTATTGTATGGCTGACCTTCCTCTGGAAAGAGGAAGGATGGCATTATTATGGTGGACGGAGAAGATGTCCTGCAAGTCTAGTGGTCAAGTCCGGAATCTGTTTGGATCCCCTATAACCAGGAATATTTGAACCCTGATTGTCCTCTTCATTTGTTGAACTTGCCAGGAATTCACTAACCTTCTTTACTATGCTTTGTATTTGCGCCTACAACCTCATGTAGTTGTTCTTGTATACTCTTTCATCTCACCCTGACACTGTACCCTGTTATTTGTTTCCTACTGCTAACTGGCTTCACCATTTTTTCCAACAGCACTAGGAATCTTTTTGTAATGATCTTAACCCTGAATCTGTTTAACTGCACACTGTTAGATCTGTGCATGTCCCACCTTCCCAGAACCAATCCCAATGCTCCAGGAATACAAAACCCTGTCACCTGCACTATTTTTCTAGCCACCGTACACCTGCTCTATTCTCTTATTTCTATATTCTTAGCGAATGGCATTGGAAACAATTCAGAGATTATGACCTTATAAGATCCGGTTTATTAGTCTCTTTCGTGACTGCCTGCTTGTAGGAACACTACCTGTGTCATTGGTACCGGTACTGATAACAAGCTTCAGAATGTTCTGCAGCTGATCAGGGACGTACTAGACCCTGAGACCAGCAAGGCAACACGGCACCCTGGAATATCACATGCAGCTACTGCCCATCTTCTCTCCCACCTATCCACTCCACCCACCTCACTGACCAATCCCCACCACTGCCTACCTGCACTCACCTATCACCATCCCACCTACCTTCCCCAGCCCCACACCTCCTCTCTATTTATTTGTGAACTCCCTTCCCCCTCCCCCATTTCTGAAGAAGGGTCCCAACCCGAAATGTCAGCTTTCCTGCTCCTCTGACGATGCCTGGCCTGTTGTGCTCCTCCAGCTCCACACTGTGTTATCTCTGACTCCAGCATCGGCAGTTCTTACTATCTCTACAGAAATACCTGCCTGTTCTTCTAACTGTTGAATAACTTGTCACTGGAAAAGCTCAGCAGGTCTGGCAGCATCAGTAGAGAGAAATCAGAATTTACATTTCAGATCCAGTGACTCTCCTCAGTTCCGAGCTTTTCCAGCAACTTCTGTTTTTGTTTCTGATTTCCAGCTTCCACAGTTATTTCAGTTTTTAATAATTTATCTTTATTATTTTCCCAATCTTATTTGTCCCAGAATAGGTGCATTTTAACAAAAGGTGTAGATATTGCGAAATCTTACTGTGAAAGCAAGGAAGTAAAGTGATTTTCAGCTGCAGATTATCCACTATCAGTAAAATTCAGTTAAAACAAGCAGTTTCTAGCTTAGGTATCAATTAAAAGAAAATGTAAATCTCATATTTAGCACTTGTGGGCAGGACCAGACATTTTTATTGTAAATTGCATGTGTATTTGTATGTTTTGGGAAAGTAACTTTAACTAGTTCAGAGATAGTAGGAACTGCAGATGCTGGAGAATCCGAGACAACAAGGTGCAGGGCTGGATGAACACAGCAGGCCAAGCAGCAT